TTGACCTGCGTCGTTTGTTCGTTCTGTGAGAAAGATTTCGTTACACTCGGTCGACATTCATGGCGATGTAAAAAGCGAGTTAATTACGCAGAACAAGATCACTCTGCCGAAAATACGGCAAGGCAAACGCCCGTCATGAATTCTCCTAATGTCGTCGTGTCAAGTCGAACCGTAATCAAGTGTTGCTGTGGTAAAGTATGTAAAGGAGCGCGAGGATTAAAGATGCATCAACGCAGTTGTAGAGTTATTCAAGGTCTAGACAGTGAATTCCGTACAGACCTAGAGGAACAAAACAATTCTGACACGGAAAATATTCCTGAAATGGACCAATTGACAATCAACGAAACTTCTACGGTTGAAAAGGAAGATATTGCGAATTTAAGAAAAGGTATTAAACTCCCTAAAAGCAATTCCGAATGGTCAACGGCCAACGAACATTTCAAATTCGCTCTTCAGTCCAATGATCCAATCACATCACAAGATTTAAATTCCAACATAAAACTATTAAATGACATCATATACGATTACTTCGCCCAAAACTTTGGTTATAGCGAATCAGTGCCTGACAATTCGCTACTAAATAAATATAAGGACTATGAAATCAAGGATTTGAAAAAAGCTCTGAAAACCCTTAAATCAACGAATGGTGAACTAGATGAAATTAAATATGTGTCGCATATATTGCGTGATAAGCTTCGCTCAAACAATAACAATGAGTCAAGTCTAGACAGCAGCCAGTCACTTAACCATGACAAATATCGGGAAAAATTTCTGGGGTTATGTCAAGAATATTCTAAGGAAGAAAGACACTATATTACCATCTTTCAACATGACGCAATGCATATCCCACTTCACTAAGACCCTTGCTGCAATTCATCCAAACAAATTGTTCAATATTCCTAGCTGGATTCCTGCGTTGTCTGACCCCGAAGTTCAATTTGACCTTCACCCCCCATCGTATCAACAAGTCAAGATTATAATACGCAGAACGAAGGCATCTGGCTCTCCATGTCCCCTTGATCAGCTATCTATTATATGTTTTAAACGCTGTCCTTTCCTAAGAACATATTTAACTGACCTTATTCGTGCCGTGTGGCTATCTGGAACCATCCCTTCCGAATGGAAGAAAGCTTGCACAATACTAATCCATAAAAAAGGCGATACTAATACCCCGTCCAATTTCCGACCCATCACACTGGAGACCATACCATTAAAAGTATTCACTTCCTGCCTACGTAACGCTATGTATTCATTCCTAACCGTTAATAACTTTATTGAACATAATATTCAAAAAGGATTCACACCTAACATGTCTGGCAACTTAGAAAATACTGCACAAATGGCCAATATAATCAATAAAGCCCGAATCAAACAACGCTCACTAGTCATCACCCTACTTGACCTCAAGAATGCTTTTGGTGAAGTTCATCATAATCTGATCACATCCGTACTTGATTACCACCATATCCCTGAACATGTTAAATTGATAATTAAAAGTCTATATACCGATTTTAAAACTTCAATAATTACATCTGAATTCCGTACGCCCTTCATACCAGTTCGCCGTGGAGTATTGCAATGTGATTGCCTGAGTCCTCTTCTCTTCAACATGTGTTTCAACACCTTTATACAACACATAAAAACAGATAAATATCGTCAATTCGGCTTCTCCTTACAGTTTCTAAATCCCATCCACTGGTTTCAGTTTGCTGATGATGCCGCCGTCATAAGTAGTCAAGAATCCGAAAATCAACATCTTCTAAACCGGTTCTCTATTTGGTGCCAATGGTGCAACATGATTATTCGGGTTGATAAATGTAGTACCTTTGGCATAAAAAAATCTCTAACAAAATCAATCCAATACTTGCCTAAACTACTTATTAACAAGCAACTAATTCCAAAGATCAATATCGGTGAGGCTTTTCAATACTTAGGAAGATACTTTAGTTTTAATATGTCAGACGAACACCACAATGGTGTATAATTTTAACAACACTAAAATAATTGATAAATCTAACCATTGGTCCCTTTTACTATATCAAGAATCCCTCGCTATTGAAAGATATAAACCTGAACTTAATTATGGACTTAAAGCTTCTAAAGAACTAATCATATTTAATTAATTCGTTAATAATCAACCTAACTATTGTATCATATTTCTTCATATAAATACCGCTTTTGATATATAACCTAAGCTAGTTTCTCCTGATGATGACTGAAATATAGTCGAAACGTAGATAAATAAAAATGTTATCGATTTTTGGAGTTTCACTTGTTTTGTATTTTAACCTTAATAATCGTTGACATTTTAGCTTGAACCCTGGCGGACCGAAAAAAGACAACTAAAATGGTCAATGCTCGCACCGTCCGCTATTGCGTCGATGGCCGTACTATGCTTCTTTACAAACAAAACCGACGATTTTACTAGTAATGAAACATGTGTCGAAAAACATCAATTTAATGCACCAATTCGTTAAGCGAATATTCAGAGATCATTAAAAACCAATTAAAACACACACACAGAATGTTGTGGGAGAAGGGTTGCTGGGGAGAAATGCTCCGATTATACTATAAACTGTGGCCAAAGTGTCGCCCCACAAACTCACTATTACAGAAATATGATTATGATATAATTATATGTCCTCAGGGGGTCGTGGTTCCCCATGTTGGACTTTACCTAAGGGGTAGTAGATCCCCGAAATGGGCATCCTGAATGTCCAAGGGGTAGTAGATCCCCGTGATGGTCATTGTTTACTTTAATGTCCAAGGCGTAGTAGATCCCCGTGATGGCCATGGTTTACTTTAATGTCCAAGGGGTAGTAGATCCCCGTGATGGTCATTGTTTACTTTAAAATAAACTGTATAATTCATTGATTTGTGTGAGTCTATGGGGTTGACGGTGACCTTTTGGGGGCACTCCATCCCCAACAACCAAAGAACTTTTTTTTTCCAGCCTTCCAATACATTACAAAACCTGCCTGTAATAATAAATTAACCAGTGACTACTACTGTAACTACTCCATTATACTCTACTTAACAACGCATGAATTGCAATCCATACGAATCTTGGTGCTGGATTGCCTCACCAAACAATATTTACAGATTTTTTTTTATATGAGCTATGATAAAGTGGTGCAAAATCGTTGAAGGGTGGGATGGGTGGAATTTCAATATTTTTGCCGCAGAGATCTTACGCTTTTGCTTGCAAGTGACACAATGAGGCTTACTGATCCAAGCAGGAAACTATGCAGATGAAATGGTGAAACCAGATTGGTCTAATTTCCCGCACAGATGGGAAGAGATTTTTGCAATGGTTTGTTGTTACCTCATATGTGCGCTCTGCACGTGCATGATCACATGGTTCACAAATTGACCTTTGTACCAGACTTTTGAGCTCCAGGAGACATTGCACAACTTTACTTTTGTCATAACGCTTGTTTCATTAACTTAACTTAACTAGAAAATACATGCATGTAGAAACCCTCGCCACAGAGTAGATAAGACATACAGAGATGTAACTGACCGTTGTAAACACTGCGGAAGATTACGTTATCATGTACCCACTTTTTTTTCAGGTGACCGGGCGAAAAATGATCAACTGCGCGTGCTCAGCAAGTTTAAAGCGAGTCGTCATCAGGTCGTCATCCAATCAGATGCATGCATCTAGTAACTTGCCGAGCATGCGCACAAAAAAAGTGAGTACAGTAGTTACGTCTCTGTATGTCTCTACCATAGATATAGGAGATCTAGATTGCTAACGCACACCTAGCGCAGGCGGGGCCTACATGATAAATCCAAGATGGCGGTACAACAGGGCAAAAAGACTATAGATTCTATTACGAAAATCAGGATATTTGCATTTTTTGCCGTTCCATTGTTTCGAAACTTATTCGGTCAAATTTTATGGTAAAGAGAAACTTACCGCGAAGATTTTGAGCATATATATGATTGAATTGGATGAAAAATCGCAAAATTGTCCAGCGATAAATGTTCGTGTAAAATGGTCAGTTGGTCAGTTGGAGCGTTTTATTGCCCGAAATGCTGTGCTATGTTAACATCTAGCATTGCGAATGATGTTTTATATTTGCATCTCTCATCATCATCTGTTCTGTCCTCATAATTATGAAAAATGAACTGTTATGTACCTTCCCCCCCCCCCCCCCCCTTGCTTGTTAGAGAAGTAAACTGATGAGAGCACTGGATGAGGGTCTATCATCTATGTTCTGTTATAATTTGCTTTTTAATTTTAATTTTTGCTCACTTTTTTTGCAAATAGTGAGCAAAAATTAAAGCAAAACTGTACAAGTTACATATATAGTACTATATCAGTACTATACACGAACTTTTATCGCTGGATAATTTTCCGATTTTTCATCCAATTCAATCATATATATGCTCAAAATCTTCGCGGTAAGTTTCTCTTTACCATAAAATTTGACCGAATAAGTTTCGAAACAATGCATGCGACGGCAAAAAATGCAAAAATCCTGATTTTCGTAATAGAATCTATAGTCTTTTTGCCCTGTTGTACCGCCATCTTGGATTTATCATGTAGGCCGCGCCTGCGCTAGGTATGCGTTAGCAATCTAGATATCCTATATCTATGGTCTCTACTCTGTGCCCTCGCCTTGCTGACAAAACCATTGTATTTTCCGAACATGAAGTATCTAGAACAGTTGTCATGGTAATACGATAATTTTTTTAAGAATATTCTTACAAATCTCCTAAAAATATCACTTTTAATTACAAAGTTATCAATTTCCCAACATATATATGTTAGGTATGTTATTATACGTAATATAGGCTTCAATTTAAGATAAAATTCAACCACAAACGCTTCGCAAAACGTTTTAAAGTGTTCTTTATAAAACTAAACAGCCTTTTATGATTAAATGGCTTTATCGATAAACTTTGAGTTTGCAATAAAATGATTTCAAATTCTCGCTTGCAAATAACTTTGCTCTCTTTTTTTTTAAAAAAATTCAATATAATAAAAAAGGGAATCAGTATTAAAGATACACTGAAATTATATGCTGTCTTGTTTAGTTGTTTCATAGTTTCATATACGCAAAGGCCGTCGGGTTTTAAATCCATTATAAAATCAATATTTAAAACAAAGACAACAAACTTACCTTAGTTAACGTCGGCTCCCTTCTTTTAGCCGATTCTTTCGCCCTTTCTTGATGAGAAAACTTTTGAAATTTACAAAATTATGCAAAATTGCGAGCAAAAAATTCATCAATCATCAAATCAAGAAATGTTTGCTATTTTGCTGTCGTCATGCAGTCGTTATAATGCAAATTTGAAATTGGACCAATCAGTGTCCGCTATTCATGACAGTCCGCCATATATTTGAGATCAGTGAGGATGACCACCCACGGTTGGTCACCCACGCCCGCGATATTTGATGAACTTTAGACTCCGCTAATGCTTTCGTTTCCCCGGGTGTAAATAGCCGGGGGGAATTAGTACCCTCGCACGGCGCTTCGCGCCGCCGGCTCGGGGATAATGCTAAGGGCATTTATAAACTTGCTTTAACCTCAGTTTGGAAAAGTATTCTTGAATTAATTATCAATGCACTTATGCACTTGACGGCTTTTTGAGAACGTATAATTAAACATTTTTTCTGTTGCCAACAACATAAATTAATAGCCATACTTTTGATGTAAAAAGCGTTTTTAACTTCATTAAAATAAAACTAGTACAACCAAAAAAGCCAGTAAAAGTCATTCTAGCTGCATTAAGTAGTGTAAAGTATTATAATTTGGGCAAGTTTTTGCGCCATCAAATTTACCTAGCATAATTATTATTATTAATTTTGTGTGTACGCATGTTCCCATATGGGTTTTTCAACACTCAATTACAAAATTATTACAAATATGTATATATAATGTAAAATTATATATCTTAATTAAATACTAACTGATATGTTCTATATTTAATTATAATAAAAATGCTAGTCCAGTTCTGTATTTAATAGAAGGTAAAATTTCCATATACCGTATGCTAGAATTTTAAAATATACCATTATTAAATAAGAAACTGTCTTATTAACGGTTCTTTTAGTTTCTTCTTAAATTTATCAAGGTTTGTGATCTGCTTCAGTTCATTGTCCAAATCATTCCATATTTTCACTGCCCTAGCATAGAATGTTCTCTGTCCTGAAGAAGTCTTGAAAGATGGTATGTTTAGACTGTCATGATACCGAGTTGGTCTGTTGTGAATGTCTGAGCGTTTAATAACGAACTTATTTGTACGATAACTCGGTACCAGATTATTGAAACACTTGTATGCCATTATTGTATCTCTATACAAGTGTAGGAACTCTATGGGAAGCCAGTTGAATTCTTGTAAACTGGGTGTAATATGATCAAACTTTCTAACTTTTGTAATGATCCGATTGTAATTTTTCGATGTTTTTAGCCGACGTATTCTTCTGATTTTCTTGATTTTTTAAATTTTTTTCTATTCTTTTGATACTTTTGTAAAACGGCGCGCTCGTGCCACTCCGTAGCCGCATCACACATGGATCAGCACGATATGAGCGCGTTTCCTCGCCGGTGTTTTATTACGCCCTGATTATTTAAGTAGTGTTAAAATGCGGGTTCTAGCGCATTTTTGATCCGCTTTCTGAACCGGTTCAAACCGGTTCGGTACGATGTCAATTAATTAATGACGTCATTAATTAATTCAGGCTCGCTACGTCCCTCTAACGCATTTCTTTTCCAAAATTCAATTATGACGTCATCAATCACGCGATCATTTTCCGAAGAATTCAATGATGACGTCATCACGACTTTTGAAACGATTTTCTTTTTCTGGGAACTACATATACAATAAAGTATGAAATTCGCAGACCTCTATTTCCGATGTCCGGAAATCCTGTCCGACCTTGATGCTATATTGGGACGTGGAGCCTTCATTCACTTTGGATTCCGTTATGTGAATGGAGAAACTGGATACGAATTGGACAAGCGACATGCGATGTGTACCATGATTCCGGTGCGCAGCAACATAAACAACACCGCCATAGAACTTTTTGTATCGACGGAACTAAGAAGTAATTGGCATCCGATCCTGTGTTGGTTGGAGTGTTGTGAATACAATGGAAGCAAGTTAATCTTCGATTTGGGAAAGCCGGACGCCCTAAAACGGAACGACGATGGAGATGAGGATGATGATATGCCACTTATGGAAAGCGATCAGAACGATCGAACCTTATGTCATCCATCCCGCAACCTCGACAATTTACATTATCTTCACTGAGTCTTAAGATTTTAATGTTCTTACAAACATTAAAATTGGTTCTGTTTAGATTCTTTATACAATAAACAATGGGAAAAGAGAATATGTTCGAACATTACACTAAGAAGAGGAAGGGCGTCCCTTTTCTTGCCACACTTAATGTACTCCGGAAGCCGAAGGCGGAACCGCATCAGAAACGATGTTCGGCTTGTACGATTTGGGCTAGCCGGAAGGGTATTACCAAAGAATTTTTGTGTAAGCATATGAAACATAATCTTAGGTAGTTTAAGTAATTTTTTAATGGATTTGGACCGTTAAGAAAAAAAAAATGTATATAATAAAGAAAGGATGTCCATTACCAAAGTTTCAGACTTTACCAAAGACTCGTTCACTTTCGAAGATGCCGTCGGAAACAGGTACGGGTCCAAGAAGATTAAATTAACGGCACGGGATCATGGTCCGCTTCTGTTGGAACTCACGGATTGTTTGTCTTATGGAGTGAGCATAAACAGCAAGTTCGGCAAGGAAAATTACTCCATCTCCCTAGCCCTGAGGGACAAGGAGGAGTTTGTGTCAGCCCTGGAACTGGTGGAAAAGGAATCTGTCAGCCACATCGGCAAGTCGGGTGAAAACATTATGAAATGTCTTTATCGGAAAGGCAGCACTCCGACCCTATACGCAAAGATTGACAACGAAACAGAGATCTATCCTCCGGAAGGGGACGAACCCGATTATTCTAAAAAGTATCAGGACAAGAGATTCCATCTCGATGCAATCATCAGAATCGAAGGAGTCTTCATATCCAACAGTACGACTTCCATTCGGGTGAAGCTACACGAGGCAAACGTATTGGAAGAAAAGTCTAAGGTACCGAGGAAGAGACTCTTACAGCGGCGGGATTAGGAATGCTAGCAGAACCAATTTTAATGTTTGTAAGAACATTAAAATTTAGGGAGCATCGGCATTTTCCCCTTTTTCCGGACAGCTTACCTTCGAGCTGATCACGTGCTTTCCGACAGTGATTCCACCACTTAGTATTCCGATGAGTGGGATGTATGGTGTTACATAACTGATGAGGTTTTTTATATATTTTCTAAGCAGATTGTTTTCCTCCAGTTCCTTTTTCATTCCTTCAGAATCCTTAACAGCATCCAGCGCCTCCATGAGTTCAGAGAATTTGGTGATGATAACGTCAGTCAGTTGATTGTTTGTGTTTTCCAGCTGTTGCCTTTCGTAGTCTTTGTATATATTTTCCAACGTCTTTTCGGATGCCTTCTTGATATATTTTGACGTGTACTTGATTTCACCCGCATCGGCCAGCTTCAGTAGATTTTCCCTTAGATCGCTTACAACAGATGTTTCGGTCGTCTCAGGTTCTACAGATTCGAATATGGTTTCCATTCCTTTATTTAATATGCGGAATAATTGTTTTGTGGGTATAGGGTCGGCGTAATAGTATTTCCAGTCTGGCGTAGTCGTTGTTTTTTAGCGTATTAATGATTTCTTTCCTTTCTTCTTTCTCCGTATTTGCGAGGTAGTCATCCATTATGATGTTTGTATCTTTTGCGCTCGGGTTGTAAAAGGTTATGAGTTTGGATATATTTTCTCTATACGGTTTTGCAACGGATGTAAGCTGTTGGGTAATGACAATGGTTGATATTCCCATATGTCTGGCGCTAAACCAAAGTTTTACCAGTTCGCTAGTTCTGTTTTTGACGGATTGACTGCTTGCACAGTCGTCAAGAACGATAAGGCTGTTTGTTCCTTCCGAAAACTGTGAAATGTATTCTAAGCATTGATTTACAGCATCCTGTTTGCAGGGCATGACCATAAAGTCCTTATCCCTATTGTATTTCCAGTCCTGATACGTTTTGTTCCATTTGTATGTGGGACATATTAGAAATATCTACTCGAAGTGGTTTTTGTAGTCGTTCTCCAACATTTCCAGTAGGTGATAGGTTTTTCCACATCCAGTCTTTCCAAGAATGATCATGTTGAACGGTGTTTTTAGTGGTTCCATCTTTTATTTAATAGCTGATGCCTTGAAGGGTCTTTTCACTGATGTTTATGAGTCCATCGGATAGCACAAAGATGTTACAGAGGAGGTCTTCAGAATGACCAGCTGTTTCGATCTCCAGAAGAATTCCGGGATTATCACCAAGGATCTTTTTTCCACTTCCAACGACATGACTGTCATCAACAGCTCTCATATCGATCGCCAGTGCGAACTTGTCCCTGTAGAATTTCCTGACGCTTAAGTCATCGTTACAGGTATTATTGGGTATTCCGAACAGTCTTCTTGCCTCGTCGTAAAAGTTTTCGTATGTTAGACCTTGACTGTATATAGCGTTCGGTTTCCCATCTATCGTGACCTTTACCTTCTCAATATCCGGGAAGACGTATTCTTCGCTGTCGGTTACTGTTCTTTTCCTGAACAGTAGGACCACGGCCCTCATGCTTTCTCTTGGAACGTCTATGGTTTCGTTAAACCTTGCAGCACCACTTGACTTTGCCCACACGGTTGTTTTCAACAGTGTTATGTGTTCGTAGGATAGGGATCTACCGGCCTCGTATCCTTCGTTTACCCTTTTGGCTAGTTCCTCGTTCTCGATGGTTTCGTATTCCAGGTGTGTGTTTTTCAGCGTATATCCTTCCACCTTTTCGTTTGACTGTGCAACCATAATCTTGTCGGCTTCTGGAAGGGTTATCGTGTACTCGAATCCACTTTTCATGTTGTACGGTGCGTAAGGACCATGATCATTGAGTATTTTTCCAAGTTTCATTTTCTGCTCTTTGTATACCTTTGCCATCATCAGGTCATAACCGCCGTCCTCCTTTGCGGTCCGATCGATACTGTAGTCCTTCGATAACATCTTTCTTGTGTTTTCGTTCATAATTCCATATTCTACCATGTTCGCTCTTTTTGAATCCATCTTCCAGAGATCTTTGTAGACTTCGATGAGACTTTCACCGTTATTGTCGTATACTATCTCACCCCCCACCCTTATCATGAGTCGCTCGCACAGAAGTTTACCGAGGTTATTCATGAACCAGGATTTGGTGTTTTCGTTCTTGAACTCGTACGATAGACGAAATGAGTCCGGAACGATACAGGTGTTCGGTTCCAGTTTTGGAACTACAATCCGGATATCGTTTCCAGGGTTGGATTCGTTTGGGGTGAATGTAACGTAGTTACATACCCTGTTCCCTACAACATCGGAGGTCAGTGTCCTTTTGAAACCGGGCGTAAGTTCTTGGCTTCTCTTTTCCATGGTTTTATTATAGTACATTAATTATTAAATTTTTCGAACTTTGGTTTCGCTTTGTCTATGGTTCGACTCATTCTGTACTTGTGGTTCTGTTGTATGACTAGACTTGTCCGCAGGTCTGACCCTACAGTATATACAATAGATTTCTCCTAGCGCAACTGCTGCGACTCCAGCGTAAATTAGCGTATTTACCGAATCACCTTGATCGAGGTTATTTTCAGCGTTACGTCTTTCTTCGGCCTTTCTTGCTTTTGCTTCCCTAGATATTACAGCCAGTCTTTTACCTGATTCTACCCTTCTCGGGTCCTTCGGTTTTTGGGTCTTTTCTGCTTTCGTTATTGTCGGTTCATTCATACTTTATTTAATATACTTACTTTTTCTGGAATTTCTAGTCAAATCTAGCCAAATTCTAGCCAGAGCTAGTTGTAACATAACCTTAACTAGACTCCAGCATAACCTTAACTAGGTTTAGCATCTAGCTAAATTCTAGTTAAATCCAGTCGAATTTTAGTCAAATTCTAGTCAGAGCTAGTTGTAGCATAACCTTAACTAGATTTCAGCATAACACTGGCTAGGTTTAGCATCTAGTTAAAGTCTAGTTAAATTCTAGTCAGAGCTAGTTGCAGCATAACCTTAAATAGTTTCGGAAAATCAACTTAGGATAATTTCGGAACCAACTTAAAGAAATAATTTTCCGTATAATAAAAGGTATGGACTTTCCTACGACAGTACCGGGAGAGATTCGTCAGTTGGAGTCGCCTCCCTCAAATTGGTTGACTCTCTTCGGACAGGCGAAAAAGGAGTATCTAGATCTTCTTGCTTTAGAGGAACCTGTGAAGTTTCCGAACAAGCATTTCTGCTCTGAGGGACACAGACATCATCTCGTCTCCACGGACAGGTTTCGAATGTGTTGGTCATGTGGATTAGTTGTTGGTAGGATCCTCAGTCTCGATTACAACCATGATTGTAGGGACAGGGTGATGACGAGGAACCGGGAAACGGACATTGACGGCAGGTTCGAATCGTTCTGTACCAGGAGGAAAATAACATATTCCGATTTATCGACACGTGAAAGACGTTTGATAGCAGAAAACATTCGTAAAGTTTACGAGACAGAAAAATCTGAAAGAAAGAGACTTCCTAATCTCAGTATTCTAACTTACCAGATATGTAAAAGGGATAACATAAAGTTAAACGAGAAGCTTCTTAATATTCCAGTAAGCAAAGCTTCACACGACCGGTGTAAAAAAGTATTCCAAACACTGGGCTGGGAATACATTGACCAGTCATCGTCCCTGTAGGCAGTGATGTATACCTAACGCCCAACGGTATATAGTTCTGTGACGTGGGGGACTGGTAAAAAAAGACGTTATGTAAAATTTTAATGCTTACTTAACATTAAAATTGGAATAGTAATTTAAGGGTGATGACGATGAGAAGAATTTCAACCGTTACCGGGATGAGTAGGCAGAACACCAGACTCATCCATATCAGTCTCCGTAGTACCTGGATTCCGATCATTTACTTTATCATACTTTTTTACCGTTGTACTAACGTATCCAATTTGGGTGTGAGCGTTGATAGTGAGATCACCGCGTTCGATACCAATTCCGAAACTGAACATTTTCCTTTTCCGGTGGTTCTTGTCGTACTTCACTCCGTTTGTGGTCTCAGGTTTTGTGTGTAAACATCCCATTTTATATATTCTTCTTTTTATTTTTCGCTGACTTTGGTTTTTCTCCCTTCACAGCTTTTGTTGACGGTCCCGCTTTACCTTCCTTACACGATGTAACGTACTTGATGTTGGTTGTCTTGGATTTAACGTAACCAAGATTCAGTCCGCCTTTACTGAGTTTTATATCGACGTTGACGGTTTTGTCCCTTTTTAAATTTTCCTTAACTTTGATTTTATCGCTACTCATTTCTTTTATTAATACGAAAAGAAAATCCATCTTGAAGTGATAACCCCACCGATAAACATAGTGCCGAGAAGGTAAATCAGATTGTTTGATGTTTTCGGTATGCTTACCGTGTTAGGATGCGGTATGGGGTTCTGGTCTTTGTGTGGTATTATACAATTACTTTATGGTTTCAGTGTTTGGATGGCCTGATCCAAACACGCGGGAATGTTGCGAGAGTTAAGAAAAGCGAGCGAAATCACGAGCCGAAGGCGAGTGATTTTGCCCGCTTTTCTTAACTCGAGCAACATTCCCAAGTGTTTGGATCAGTCCATCCAAACACGGAAACCATAAAGTAATTTTGTGTTTGAATAAATTAGACCATATAGGCTCAGTACAAAAAGATTATTTTAATAACTACGTTTCGGAGTATAACTCCATCTTCAGGTTAAAAAGTAACTAAAGATATAAAACTTTAAAAACAATTACAAATTTAGACAAAATCCGT